TTGATTCCCTCTGCCCGAGACAAGTACAGGGACGGCACCTCTGCCCGAGACAAGTACAGGGACGGCACCTCTGCCCGGGACAGGTACAGGAACACCACCTATGCCCGAGACAGGTACAGGAGCAACACCTCTGCCTGAGACATGTACAGGAACGGCACCTCTGCCCGGGACAGGTACAGGAACACCACCTATGCCCGAGACAGGTACAGGAGCAACACCTCTGCCCGAGACATGTACAGGAACGGCACCTCTGCCCGAGACAGGTACAGGAACGGCACCTCTGCCCGAGACAGGTACAGGAGCAACACCTCTGCCTGAGACATGTACAGGAACGGCACCTCTGCCCGAGACAGGTACAGGAACACCACCTACGCCCGAGACAGGTACAGGAGCAACACCTCTGCCTGAGACATGTACAGGAACGGCACCTCTGCCCGAGACAGGTACAGGAGCAACATCTCTGCCCGAGACCGGTACAGGAACAGGCCACACAAGCAATACATCACCACAACACCGTTACATGGTAAGCGCACTTAAGGGAACTAGTGTTGTATCGGAGAACGAAAGTGATTTCCAGGTTTTTGTAACTGAATGAGTATGAGTAAGTGATAAGGAGTCAGGACGCGTGAGAATGAGTGATTGTGAGGATGAGTGATTATTCGTGAGGATGAGTTATAGTGAGGATGAGTGATTGTGAGGATCAGTGATTATTCGTGAGGATGAGTGAGCATAAAAGTGATGACTGAGTTTGAGTGAGGATGAGCATTCCTCGCTGAGTCATCAATATGTACCGGGATGACGGCCGAGCCTTAACCAACCCAAAGCAGCACGTTGATTCTGTGTGACGGGGCAGTGGTGAGTGTACTGTATGTGACGGGGCAGTGGTGAGTGTACTGTATGTGACGGGGCTGGTGTGTGTGTGACATGACAGTGGTGGGTGAGGGTGACGCCCCAGTGGTGGGTTAAGGTGTAGGTAAACAGCCTGCACTGCTTACTTACTTCGCTTCAATTAGCCTTAATAAGCTAAGGTGTTTACCCAGTTGCTATTTAAGCTGATGTTGTTAGTAAGGAGAGGATAGGTGCTAATTGACAAGACCCGGGTAGTGTACATAACTCGGCCTTGATGAACGTGTGCTTCTGGCGTGCTGTCATTACGCTCCTGACACTATTCAATAATTAGCACTTGTAAACTTGATTTTTTTTTTTAAGAAAGTGAACATTATTACTCTAAAAAAAGCTCTAAGTCCGATCATGACAAGTCTACGGTACCGAAGTTTCAAACTGAAACACTTTTAATTACATAGAGGAGAACGGTACTGTTTTATTGTACTCGGCAGTTATAGCACTCTCTACACTACACCTTCCACAACACGGAAGAGGACATGTTTGAACCCCAATGGAGACGATTGAGGTAATAATGAAGATTGGTGATGCTTAATTAAAATCCTGACGCAGAAGTCATTCTCAGTTTTGCACAATAAATCAGAGCTAGAGACTACAACAGGTTGTCAGGGACCAGAGTATCAACATCCAGGGCTCTTCAGTGTGTTGCTAGCAAGTGCAGCATATGTCAAGGAAAAACAAGTGGAAGGTTTTATGGTATAACTGGACAAGTTCCTCAATAAATATTCCTCATCACTTATACTGAGAAGAATGTATCGTCCTGCGGGCAGTAAGCAACCAGGTCAACACCTGGTTGTTCGTCTGTAGGGAGTCCCATATGGCATCACGAAAATTGTGACCAAGTCCCAGGTTACTGATCTGACTTTCTGCCACATTTACACACAATTGCAGGGTCTCAATTGTTTTTCTTACTTTGACAACACAACATACATATATTGTTTCTCACTATTGATCTTTTTTTCATTTTTGTATTTCTTTATGGTTTATTATTATTATTATTATTATTATTATTATTATTATTATTATTATTATTATTATTATTATTATTATTATTATTATTAATATTATTATTATTATTGCATTTCGCACCCCAGGCCCCGATGTGGGTCAGTGACCTGCGCCTGGGTGGGAAAATCCCAGTAAAAAAAGAAAAAGGAAGCTAAGTGGTACCGAAACATTAGCGACAGGAAGTTGGAGTATAATTACAGGACACAACGCACCCTAAAGTAGTGACTAAATCAAGGATATAACGCCTAGTGTGAAGCATAGTGTGTAGAAGGCGGGCTAGTGTGCGGTGTACTGTGTGGAGAGTGGGCTAAGGTGCCGTATTGTGTGGGGGCAGTGTACGGCATAGTGTATGAGGGCGCAGTGTACGGCATAGTATGTGGGGAGGGCGCAGTGTACGGCATAGTATGTGGGAGGGCGCAGTGTACGGCATAGTATGTGGGGAAGTCGCAGTTTACGACATAGTATGTGGGGGTGCAGTGGCATGTGGGGAGGGTGGTGTACGGCATGTGGGGAGGGTGCAGTGTACGGCATTGTATGTGGGAGGGCGCAGTGTACGGCATTGTATGTGGGGAGGGCGCAGTGTACGGCATTAGTATAGTATGTGGGAGGGCGCAGTGTACGGCATAGTATGTGGGGAGGGCGCAGTGTACGGCATAGTTTGTCGGGAGGGCGCAGTGCACGGCATAGTATGTGGGGAGGGCGCAGTGTACGGCATAGTATGTGGGGAGGGCGCAGTGTACGGCATAGTTTGTCGGGAGGGCGCAGTGCACGGCATAGTATGTGGGGAGGGCGCAGTGTACGGCATAGTATGTGGAAGGCGGCCAGTGACAGGGTATCCACCATGCGAGTGTTGTAGGAGGCGCGCCACACAGGATATCCACAAGGGAACTTCCAAATTATGTTCTACTTTTTGCTAGGAGCGGCGGCGCTGTAGCTGAGGGTCGCCTTCACTTTACGCACCATTCAGATTTGCCCCGCGAGGGGGCTAGTTTACTGGGCGCCCCCTTTGCATCCTGCTCAAGGCAAAGCGCAAAAGCATTTACAGCGTCCAATAGGAACGCTTGCGGAGTTCATGCTTGCCTTCTTGACTCGTGCAAATTAGGACGCAAGTGCCTGATGGGCCATGAATTATGCCGGCAAATTACATATAGTGACAGGATGAGTGTGTGGAGTCTGTCCAGATCGTAACTGCTGGCGGAAAAGTTTGAGACAAGATGTCACTAGTCCTCAGCTTATTTTAGTTTGGTAGACTCGAAGTCGTCATTGTGTCTACCCGAAAAGAATAGTTGTTCAGAAATTATTGGAGAATACTCACTGACAGGAAGTCAAAATCCCCAGACATGGAGGACAGGAATGACTCGTACTGCTTAGTGGCCCTTACCGCTAACACGCATCGCTCCCTGGGTTAATGACTCCATGGGATTCATCATCCTATGCACATCTCAATACGTGTGTGGTGAATTAATTAAAAATACGAATCTTCCCTGCATGGTGAAGGTAGAAATTTAGAAGAAAAAAAACAGATTCTAGAACTAAATTCTTTTACACGCCCGAGTCTATTATTTTAGCCACAAATGGCGCTTTACTGATTTACAGGGATTTGGTGCAGTCTCGGACACAAGTATGAGTTAGTTCTTTGAAATAATTCCACATAATACAAGGACTTTTGTTCACAAGTATACTCCTTCCTCGCACGTCACCTGCACGCTAGTGTGTATGTACACCACCCACTACCCACTCGGACCTGTCAGCGGGTACTTTTAACTTGCTTCTTCACCGCTACTTAATACGCTTTCTGCAACACCGTGACAGAAATTTTAACTTCACTCCCCCTTGATCCACCCTGCGCTGGCCTTGCTGCACCACGCACCAGCAGGGTATCCCCTCCCCTTCCTCCTCCAGCGTCACACACCGGTACTCACCAGTCATCACGCTGTGTGGTTCATGCTCCCTAAAGTTACTGTACTAACAGCCACTGGAGTCGCCATATTCACAAACTCCCACCCTCAATGGAACCAGAAGCAGCGTATTACTGACTAGAGTGAACGTGTGTGTGTTTACGAATATAATAGAAACAGACAGAGACGAGGGCACCTCACAGTCTCACAAAACTGTAACGAATTTTCTTCCTCACTCTCACACACACGCCAAAAAACAAGGGCAGGAAATAGACCGGTGTGAGGCTGCGGGCGTCACCAACAGGTGGGGGGCGTGTCCCTCCGGCAGGGAAGGACCACTACTTATGTCTGTGTGGCGGAGGGAGTCGGTGACAGACACATAAACACACGTCAAGACCTTTCTTCCAGCACCCGAGCTCAAGAATCTTGTGGCAGCTGTGTTTGTAGTTAAGTTGCCAATTTATTAATATAATTTCCTTCATTATTTAAGAAAATATATGAAGGTTCGGAAACTTCTCACGATCTAAAATAATGATGAATAGTTTAGTTTGATAAAAATGTTACCTTTGGATTGTTTAATACTTATCCTGAAAGTGATACAGCCAAAAATATATTCACCAATCACAATCACCTTTACATACAGCCTTACTTTACCAAGTATTGCCAGGTAAAATTGCCAGTACAAGACCTAGGGTGGGGTAAGAGCATCTTTTGTTGACTGTACTTCCTCGGAGTAGCAACTGATAGGCTCGGTGGGCTGTATGGTCGAGGTGGGCTGTATGGTTGAGGTGGGCTGTATGGTCGAGGTGGGCTGTATGGTTGGTGAGGGTCAACGGCCGGGCCCTGACTGTGTCCCCGACGAGTGGCTGACTTTCACCTGCTGTACTGTTGGCCAGGCTGGGGGAGGGTGAAGAACACTGGGTGGAGGAGGATGATGAACGCTGGGTGGAGGAGGATGAAGAACACTGGGTGGAGGAGGATGATGAACACTGGGTGGAGGAGGAGGATGAACACTGGGTGGAGGAGGATGAAGAACACTGGGTGGAGGAGGAGGATGAACACTGGGTGGAGGAGGAGGATGAACACTGGGTGGAGGAGGAGGATGAACACTGGGTGGAGGAGGATGATGAACACTGGGTGGAGGAGGATGATGAACACTGGGTGGAGGAGGATGAAGAACACAGTACTCACCAAACTGAGGATCCCGATGATCTTGGTTCCGACCTGCGGGTAAGAAGGAAGTAACGGTCAGTAACAATATTGGCATCAACACATACTAATGAATAGCTGCAAACAACATTTACCTCCCATGTATAGTTATATGTATACTGCACATTCATACAGAGAGAGAGAGAGAGAGAGAGAGAGAGAGAGAGAGAGAGAGAGAGAGAGAGAGAGGCCACTTCATGCTCTGGTTGGCGACACATGTTACCTGTAAATCAACAATAACTAGCATCAACATCACATTGAGGCTCTACTTTACACGTATATTTGTAAATAATTAAGTCAAATTGTTACCCATTTCCTTATACTCTTCAATTACCAGGCATATGCATCATACAAACGTTTCTGAATCAGTACCCAGACCCTTAATGCCATCTGCCACATTTTGTATACATTAGGTAAAACTACTTCGTATCACCTGAAGATCAGCCTCCACCCAGCTTATTTCACCTTAAGAATAACCCCCCTGTTGCTAACTTAAACTAGCCCTATGATTAACTAGACTAATGCTAACCTAACTCTCAAGGTGTTTTAATTATCAGGTGAAATGAGTTGGGAAGTTATCTTCAGGTGATCTACTACTCTTTCGGCACCCGAGACTTTCCTGAGAAAATATTTCCTTAGAGCAATATCTAAATTTGAGTTAATGTGATTATGACTGACGTAAGACGGGGGGCGGGGAGCACAGCCACGCCGTATAAGGCAGCCCCACACACACAGGTCACACACCTCACCTTCACCCAACCTTCCTCATTCCTGCCTGCCAGAGAACAGACGCATCCGAGACTTTTCCTACTGTCTGTTTATTTACTTATTGATGTGGGGTATTTATTAACCTTTCTTCGTTCGTGTATCAACAGTTGACTGAGGCGAGGACGTAGTTACTGATTACATCTGACTACCTGCTCACTGAACTATAAAACATAACTTAATCCAACCTCACCTTATCTAACCAAGGTTAACCTAACATTACCTAAACTAACATAACCTTATCTAAAGCCAACGCATCCTGATTTAGCCTACCCTAGCCTAATGATCCTTAATCCAACACAAACGAAGTTAACTCAGCCCAACCTTATTATAGCCTAACAACCCAACCTAGTCTAATTCATAGTGAACTATAGGCAGCCAGGGTACTATAGGTAGCCAGGGTACTAGTTACTGGGCAGTCAGGGCACTAGGCAGCCAACACAGGATATAATATTAATAAGGTATATCATTACACTTCTAAACGAGTTGATCGCCTCATGCAGACAACCTCGCATCCACATTAATATTTACCGTTGTAGGAGTGGAAATAATGAGTAACACTTTCCTCAAAATAGAAATTAGCGTTAAACCGAACTGCATAAAAGAGAATTAAACGAAACTACCGGCCCGATGCTTAGTTGAATAGTACATGCACAGCATTTTAACGTGCGACATATTCCAGGAAAATCCCGTGCATGCACATATTATATAACTGCGAGGTATATCGCAACAAAAGGATCCAGTAAGCCAAGCGGTACAGAATCTGTAACCAATGCAGCAGAAGTCAGCAACAACCGAGATCGAATGCACAATACCGTGCAGTGCACCTCCTACTGTGGTGCTGGGGCAGCCCAGTTTCTTCACCCTCCATCAACCAAGATCCTTCCCAGCATCCAACACCGAGGAGAAAACCTTACCGCCGCCGCCACGCCCTCACCAACAACTAAGGGTTAAGAACAGAGGTGGCACAGCTAAGAGTAGATAACCATACGTCATGCCAGGCAGACGAAAAATCCCCTTCGCCACCACCATTATACTTCAGTGGCCGCCCTCCAGAGAACAACATCCACTTATTGATGGAGAAGCAATCACCGTCGGAGAAAAGCTAAAAGCCAGAGAAGAACCGACTGTTGCCACTCCTTGACCCACGCCACGCCACAACTCACAGGCCTTCTTGAAGAGTATGTTACTAAGTAGGCCACGCCCTCCCGCCCCAACGTTCCCATAACAATACCGCGCTTTGGACGATAATTGCTCAAGTTACCTTTTACTATATACCACATTACAAGTATGTGCTAAGGCCAAGACAAACTCAACAACTAACGTAAAATTCCTTTAAATGCCCAGAGGTAATGAATGTACTGTTGCTCGGAGACCAATCACCTTATCTATCACCAACAAAACCGTTAAACATTACAGAATTACTGCAGAAATTGGTTACTCACCTTAAGGTCGAAAATGAAACAGCATCCACTCAAAACAGGCATCGTTAAATAATTATGCCTTAAGTTTTTCACAAACAGATGAGCGTCGATACACCCTCTCAACTCGGCGGTCTGTCTCCAACTGCTTCAACTGGCCAATCGTGAGCTTACCCTGGCTGGAGGGGGAGGGGGTGGGAGGGAGCCTGGTATATGGAGGGTGGAGGCAGGGCATTGGGCGGGACTTCGTCGGCGTGTATGTTGGGGGGGAGGAGATGAAAAGAAGGGGGTGGGGGTCATGGAGAGGTGGGAGGGTGGGGATACACGGCTCAGCGAGTTAGCGTTACTGTACCGCCACCAAGAACTCGTCGTAGTGTGTGTGTGTGTGACTCCCTCACGCACACTTGTTTGTGGACATAACCCGAATTACATAATGACATAAACTGTGTTTAGAAATACTTGTAACTGTTAATAATAGAGATAAGTTATAGGTAGCTACCAAACAGGGAGGTACTACCGCTGGGAAGATATTAGAAGCATATTATGGTATAATGGTAGACCCTGCTGCCATATGGCATCACGAAAATTGTGACGAGTCCCAGGTTGCTCATCTGACTTTCTGCCACATTTACACACAATTGCAGGGTCTCAATTGTTTCTCTTACTTTGACAGCACAACATACATATATTGTTTCTTACTATTGATCTTTTTTTAATTTTTGTATTTATTATTATTATTATTATTATTATTATTATTAGTAGTAGTAGTATTATTATTATTATTATTAGTGTTGTTAGCATTATTGTTATAAATTTATTTTTAATTTTGTATTTTGAATTACAAATTTTATTTACTTTGAACTAATTATTATTATTATTATTATTATTATTACATTTTGCCCCCACTCCCCGATGTGGGTCAGTGACCTGTGCCCGGGTGGAGCCCATTCCTGTAAACAAAAATAAAAATAAAAATAAACTCCGACCACAAGTAAACTAAATGAAAATTATTTTCTGTAATTTATCACACCAAATCAACAGTTTGACAACTAATCTTTGAGATAAAAAATCTAAGCACACTAACACATACTGTATATGCTTCAGAAACATAACCGCCCCTTTTCATCTGAAAATTACAATACTTTTTCTTTAATGCAGTATTGTACTCAGGGTTTTTGTACAGTGAAAAGTAATTTCTGTTCGCATACTTCTTCACATCACAAGTACACAAACTGTTTGAGAAAATGGTCTACATGTGACATACCAAAATGACTGTTAAGGCACAACAAAACAAGTTATAATAAATTTTCGTATTAAGTCATAAGTAACGTAAAGGCAACCTTCAAATAGATAAATTACACGGAATATCACTCTCTCATGATTACACCAAGTAACATAATCGTTCACTCTTACCGCTCATATGGTCCAGGAACATTGCCTCATGTTCATATACAGGTAATCACATTCTAAGCCACAATCATCGGGGAGTGACTTCTGAATTTTCTAAAGTGGAAAAGAGATCAAAACAAGACTAGGTCAAGCAAAAACAACAGTTAATAATTTAAAAGACCTAATAAAAAAGGGACATTAATTTAAATTGGAGAAAAAGGCTGCTGAAATACTATGTACTGTATAGTCAGAACTGTTGTATGGGTCAGAAGAGTGGACACTTTCAGCAGATAATACCAGAAAGAGGTTAGAGGCCTCTGGTGCTAGAGGATAATGTTACAAATAAGTTACACTGACAGGAAAACAAATGAAGAAATACTAAGATTAGCAAAAACTTCAAGAAAAAATACTTGAAATATAATGAAAAGGTCAAAATTTGATACTTTGGTCATATAATTAGGGATTGGTGGATAATAGTACAGATGTTAATGGGGATAATTTGGGGTAGGAGAGCCAGGGGAAAACAGAGACTTGGATGAATGAATTAAATTGAGTCCCCAGAGAGATGCAAGATCTCGGAGGATTGATAAAAACAATTCGAAAACGTTAAGAGTGTAGTGATTGAGTGATTGAAAGTGGGTTGCTGGTTTTTGGACCGCGTTGAAAGCAAGCTGTTTGTGTGACATGAAACTTACATCCCATCAACTGTCTCCTCTAATGAAGTAAATACACTTCCCCGAAAACACACATATTAGGATACCTTATATAGACGAGGCATTAGCTATCTTAAACGTACATATTATTAGTGGTTGGGCTGGAAAACAAAAGAAACTTGGAGTACAGAATATTAAGATCTATTGATATATTTCTCTAATGATGATTAGCGAAGACTGAGAGGATGAGGGACACAGGAGATCTAGTGTTGACAGCTGTCATGTCAGGAGAGTAGGTGCTAGTACTGGGCTACTGGTTCCTATAGTGGTACATTGAGCACATCGTATGCAGTATTATTGCATACGATGTGTTCAATCCTATGTCTCTCGCTCAATTTGTTGTGGTCTACCATAAAATGTAAGAAGAAAATAGTAAGTTCTTTTTCTTCAATCACGGTGCATCTTATATAAAATGTTGTCAGCTGTACTTAGGTATACACGGAAAGCTTGTGTTCAATAAATAATATTAAGAGACAAATTTGAATCTGAATTGTATTTATGCTGACGAAGATGTAAGGGAATACTCAGGTGTGTGAGTGTACCTTTAAGTCTAAGTACACCTAAACCTACCTAACCTTACCTGAGTTACCTTACAATTTCCGATTACAATTTTAGTTATGTGTTTGCTTATTCTCTCTCCACTTGTCAGCTTACATATTTTTAGTAAATACTTGACATGCATAGGCTTTTGAATGTACACCTGAATAATACAGGTGCCGGTATTGTTTAAATCTGGACTTAATAAAACCTTACTTGACGCTGCCACAACATTCTCTGGCAAGTTATCAACGAGTTCACGACTCATTTTCCATGTTGTTGTTATAGCTGTTGTTAGAACTGCACTTCATCAACTAAGGTCTTTAAGTGCGTGACAAGGTCAGCACATACACTATCCCAACAGCATCCAAAAAATTATGAGATATAAAAAGTCTCTTATGTTTCCAAAGAAGTAAACCCTGACAGTTCGTTTAGTACTGATAACCTCTTTACGTAAGAACATCAAAATGAAGAAAACTGCAACAGACCTATTGGCCCAGTCTAGGCAGTCAAGTTTATATCCAACCCATTGCCACTCATTATTTATCATTTCACCACTTATATATATATATATATATATATATATATATATATATATATATATATATATATATATATATATATATATATATATATATTTCATGTAGATCCAAATGAAAACGTGGATAAGATAAATCTTGGTATAAAGAACAAAGACGAAAGTTAAGGTGCTTCGTTGTTTCCCTTTCCGTGTGATTTTATCAAGATATATATATATATATATATATATATATATATATATATATATATATATATATATATATATATATATATGTGTGTGTGTGTGTGTGTGTGTGTGTGTGTGTGTGTGTGTGTGTGTGTATGTTATCGAATTAATGATGGTGTTTAGTAATGTGTTCCAGTTATTCACAACTCTATTTCGAATCAACTGCCTGCCGAAATCCTTCATTACTAAAAATTTATATAATTTAAAACCATTGCTACGCATTTGCTCCGGATTTTATGTTCTAAGCACCTTTGCCATAGTATCTTTAACCACATCACTTAAAAAAAATTATACGTTAAAGACCTATTTTTGTTTAGTCAACAAATTTACTTATGTTGCTGTCAACCCCTATATTTATGTCGATAACGTATATAATCAATAGTAGCGGTCAGAGTATTGAGTGGGGAGATTCTGTATGGCAGTAATCTGAATGCCCTACTCCTGACGTTCATCCTCACCTATGCGTCTGTTGACCTGTCAGTGTGTTGACTCGCGAGTGTGGTGATGTGAGAGTATTTAGGAATCTATGGGTCCCTTTGGCGACCTAGGCGTTTGTCGGCCTGTGAGTATATTTGGTGATCTCTGAATATGTTTGGCGACCTCTGTGTGTGTGTGTTTTGGTGACTTGAGAATGTCTTTGGTGTCCTGTAAATATGTTTGGTGATCCGTGAATGTGTTGCACGACCTATGTCATGAACTGGGTCTCCAATATACAGTGTAATCCCTTTAAGACATTCTGAGTGATTCTTTTTTATATTCCCGAAAAAATATATACTGGTGGAATGATATATAATTTCAAATATATTTAGATATCTGAACAAAAAATATGGACTAGTGATAATGTTAGATATTGCTTTAGAAAATTTCAAAATTATAACGGGCCACTATAAACGTATTCTTTACACACACACACCATCATCGTGTCAACACCGAACCCACTCTCGAAGGGTGTTGGATTCAGTATGACCAGGCGAGTTGGCGATGGCATCCGTATCAGAGATGTCTGCGTCCATGAGAGAGACTCTTCTGGGACGTTTATGTCGCCCCCCCAAGGTGGCAAAAACTTGCCGGCTGAGGGGACCTTCGTGGGACGATCGAGAAGTCAAGAGCACCTATGGGCACGTCTGTCCCCTTATGTGGTCACGCCACGACTGGCCCCCTGAACCTTACACCTCACACCCACCGACAGTCTCACATTTGACCCCAGATTATTGCCACAACCATGGCGTGTCCTCCCACCACTAGGCAACGAAGGAGGCGCTAGTTGTAGAAGTCAGGTGAAGCGCAGAAGCGCTTACAGCGCCCAACAGGGAAGCATGCTAGTTCATGCTTGCCTTTATGTCTCATGAGTTAAGGGCGTAGAAGCCTGAAGGGTCAAGGGCGTAGAAGCCTGAAGAGTCAATCGTTTTTGTCATCAAGTTATTGGAAGCTCCAACAACTTTCCCGGAATACGAATTCGCAACTTTCGATTTACAACAGGTACCTACTTTACTGCTAGGTGAACAGGGACCAATTGGGACTAGGAAAGTCAGGTGACTGTCCCCAAGAGAGGTGATCCGTCCCTTCTATATGCTATCGAGACAACCAATTGACTGAAAATGTCCAGAGGAGGGCCACCAGACTGGACCCAGAAAAAATTAGAACGCCTGTAATTTCCTAGCTTATACTATAGGCGGGCATGGGGTAACGCCCGCCCCACTAGGGATCACAGCGTAAAGTTGAAGAAGCCACAAGCTCAGAAAATTGTTAAGACAAACTTTACAGAGTG